CCTACCTTCCTGAAAAGGTAGCCCGTACTCCATCGCCATGCCCCCCTCAGAGAGGAGAGCCGCCTCCTAAAAGACCCTCCTCGGTTCATCTCTGGAGAGCTCCCGCTGCCTCTCCCTGCTCGGCAGTGAACTTCCCTCTAAGAAACCTCTCCCTTTTCTCTGACAGCAGAGGAGCAGCAGAGGAAGAAGGAAAGCAGAAAAAAAGGGCTCTATTTTGGGCCGTAGCCTGCAGCGGCCCACTACATGCTCGAGGTCGGGGCAGACTCCTCCACAGAGCTCCTCGTCCTGTTCCTTCTGTCCTCTGTGTGCTCTCCCTTCCCTCTCTTTCTCTGCCGTTGGCCACCCTCCCCCCTCCGTTATCTCTCTCTCCCCCCCCGCATTCAACTTTTCCCTCCCTCCCTCGCTCCCATGTCTCTTTCTCATCTTTGCATGGATCTAAATTGCTAAGCCTTTCCGTCTCTTTAGCCAAACATGTGGGAACTGATGCATGTTTGTAGACATAAACACACACAAGTCAGCTGAGTGGAGCTGCTCACCGCTGCACGTCCTAAGTCATAACCGTACAAATGTAACCACGTGCCTTTTTTTTGTGTCATCTTATCAACTTTCTCACACGAGAAGCTGAGGATCGAAGGCAGGGGGATCTGTCGGGGGAGTGAAATCAGAAAAAGAAGTAAAATGATGCAGCTTAAAAATTAATACTGATTAAAGAAAAACAGCCAAGATGTTCACAGCAGAAAAGAAAAACAAAGCTCAAGCAGAAACTGATGCAGGTCTTGTAGTCACAAGATAAATCTCTGTGATGCTCCAAGGCGATGAGGCGTGGCCAAACATCCGCCACACGTCACTGTGTAACCACACAGCAAATGCCCATGACAAGACAGCAGCAGCTGCACTTGCACACAAACAGACACTCGAGCACATACAGTCCACTCTGTACAGACATATGATCATACAGTAAGCATAAAACACCAACTCGTCTAATCACACACTTACGCCGAGGGTGTGATTCAGACTTTGGCCCTCGTTTAAGGTGCTGACCAAACTGTGCCCGACTGGGAAAAACTCACAAGACTTTTAAAAGACTGTCTCAAGTGACTGTGCTGCAGAAAAAAACCTGAAGGATAACATGGGAAACGCCAATATAAGCAGCCACACACACCATTCCCAAAAAGGCACACAGCTCTGTTTGTGTGTATTTTTGGTCCTTGTGGGGAAAGCGGGCACTCGGCTTTGGGTGGCAACTCTAAATTGGTTACTCGATCCTTCCTTTCTCAGACAAAATACAACTCGCAGGAAGTCGTGTTGGAGACAAATAGTGCCCAGTGAGTCCAAAGCAAACATGTACCGCCCTTATTTTTGAGTGCTTTGTCAGAACATCGAAATTTATTGTTCTCAAGGAG